CCGACGTCGCCGCCGCGCAGCAGCTGCAGAGCCTCAGCCTCAACGGATGCAACCTCACCGGCGCCATCCCGGACTTCCTCGGCGCCATGAACAGCCTCCAGGAGCTCAAGCTCGCCTACAACGCCCTCTCCGGACCCATCCCCTCCACCTTCAACGCCTCCGGGTTGCAGACGCTCTGGCTCAACAACCAGCACGGCGTCCCCAAGCTCTCCGGCACGCTCGACCTCATCGCCACCATGCCCAACCTCGAACAGGCATGGCTCCACGGCAACGACTTCTCCGGCCCCATCCCGGACTCCATCGCCGACTGCAAGCGCCTCTCCGACCTCTGCCTCAACAGCAACCAGCTCGTCGGCCTCGTCCCACCGGCGCTCGAGTCCATGGCCGGCCTCAAGTCCGTTCAGCTCGACAACAACAATCTCTTGGGCCCCGTCCCGGCGATCAAGGCGCCCAAGTACACCTACTCACAGAACGGGTTCTGCGCCGACAAGCCGGGGGTCGCCTGCTCGCCTCAGGTGATGGCATTGCTTCACTTCCTCGCCGAGGTCGATTACCCCAAGAGGCTGGTAGCTAGTTGGTCCGGGAACAATTCCTGCGTGGATTGGCTGGGAATTAGCTGCGTTGCAGGGAATGTGACGATGCTCAATTTGCCGGAGTATGGACTCAATGGCACAATCAGCGACAGTCTTGGGAATCTGAGTGAACTCTCGGACATCAACCTCATCGGAAATAACCTTACTGGGCATGTGCCGGATAGCCTCACAAGCCTCAGGTTGCTGCAGAAGCTGGACCTGTCCGGGAACGACCTGACCGGGCCGCTGCCCACCTTCAGCCCGAGTGTGAAGGTGAATGTGACCGGCAATCTCAACTTCAATGGGACGGCACCAGGATCAGCGCCATCCAAGGATACTCCTGGGTCTTCGTCGTCCAGGGCGCCAACCTTGCCTGGCCAGGGCGTCCTTCCGGAAAATAAGAAGAAAAGATCAGCTGTTGTGTTGGCCACCACCATCCCGGTTGCAGTCAGTGTGGTGGCTCTGGCTTCAGTGTGTGCCGTGCTCATCTTCCGTAAGAAAAGGGGATCAGTTCCACCAAATGCAGCTTCCGTCGTCGTCCACCCCCGCGAGAATTCTGACCCAGACAACTTGGTCAAGATTGTCATGGTGAACAATGATGGCAACAGTAGTTCGACCCAAGGCAATACACTTAGCGGGAGCAGCAGCCGCGCTAGTGATGTTCACATGATCGATACGGGCAATTTCGTGATTGCTGTGCAGGTCCTCCGTGGCGCAACCAAGAACTTTACCCAGGACAATGTGCTTGGCCGTGGGGGCTTTGGTGTCGTCTACAAGGGTGAGCTGCATGACGGCACGATGATTGCTGTGAAGAGGATGGAGGCTGCAGTGATCAGCAACAAGGCCTTGGATGAGTTCCAAGCCGAGATTACCATTCTAACCAAGGTACGGCACCGCAACCTGGTCTCGATACTGGGTTACTCAATTGAAGGGAATGAGAGGCTGCTGGTCTATGAGTACATGTCCAACGGGGCTTTGAGCAAGCATCTGTTCCAGTGGAAGCAGTTTGAATTAGAACCCCTCTCATGGAAGAAGAGGCTCAATATTGCACTGGATGTTGCTCGTGGGATGGAATATCTGCACAACCTGGCACATCAGTGCTACATCCATAGGGATCTCAAGTCAGCAAACATTCTCCTCGGCGACGATTTCCGAGCAAAGGTATCAGACTTTGGGCTAGTTAAACATGCACCAGATGGAAACTTCTCTGTGGCAACCAGACTCGCTGGAACTTTTGGGTACTTGGCTCCTGAATATGCTGGTAAGAATCGCTTTCTCTGGAAGTATATGGTTGTTGTGTTAATTTGGATGCTTAAATTGTACTAGTTCTCTTTGTTATGTGTTACAGCAATTATCGTTAACAGATGACACATGAATTAGATTTGAATCTAGTTATATTGTCTACCTGTCCCAGTGACTAAGGGTCATTCCACTGTTGTAGCCCATGAAAATGCCTTTGAGGAGTTAAGGATGTGCTAGATACAACTGAATTCCTGATGAACTAATCATTCTTAAAAAAAACTTGTCACTACTAGCTTGCAATACACTACATCTCGAACCACTTGACGAGATGGTATCATTGTTTCTCTTCCATGGAACTGTGAGAACAAATGTGTGATATCATTTGATGGAGGTTGCATTAGTATTTGTCCTTTCCCTGTTTGTTATGCTGCCTTGCTATTATGACTCCTGAATTTATGGTTGATAAGTTGCTTTAATGACCATTGCAGTGACTGGGAAAATCACGACAAAAGCAGATGTCTTCAGCTTTGGGGTAGTGCTGATGGAGCTGATAACTGGAATGACTGCCATTGATGAGAGCCGTCTGGAGGAGGAAACCCGTTATCTGGCCTCATGGTTCTGTCAGATAAGGAAGGATGAAGATAGGCTCAGAGCAGCCATTGATCCTACTCTGGATCAATCTGATGAGACTTTTGAGAGCATCTCCGTGATCGCAGAGCTTGCTGGCCACTGCACATCCCGGGAACCCACCCAGCGACCGGACATGGGCCACGCCGTGAACGTGCTCGTCCCGATGGTAGAGAAATGGAAGCCTGTGAACGACGAGACCGAGGACTACATGGGCATTGATCTGCACCAGCCGTTGCTCCAGATGGTGAAGGGCTGGCAGGACGCAGAGGCCAGCATGACAGATGGAAGCATCCTGAGCCTTGAGGACAGCAAGGGCAGCATCCCAGCTCGGCCTGCCGGGTTTGCAGAATCGTTCACCTCGGCTGATGGCCGGTGAAGCATCATATATCTACAATACAAATAAGTACATGTCTCCTCTGGACCTCTCCTGTTTCCCTATAGTGTTCTTGTAGGTAAAAGAGTGCATTGTCCATGTGCTTATGCTTCTGTAGATAGACATCCATTTTTCTTTCTTTTCTTTTTTGGTAGGATTGCTTTCCTATTATTCCAATCTTGAGACTGAAGTTTCTGCCTTTTTCTAGTCATCGGGGTCATATAATGCTTCTTTAGTTTACTGTACTTGAAAATTTTTGCAATGGCATCTGGTGGCATCAATGATCCATATCATGAGTCTTGTACTGTTTAGGGAGCAATTAGTACCAATCCAGGCTTGCATTTGGCACTTTTCTGAAACTCTACACAGGTTGCATCATGCCTTGATAATTATCAATGTTCTATATGATCTAAGCAGATGCTAGATTATCTAACAATTACTAGAGCACAGGTAAAATGGTGAGCTTGCAGAGATAGGCCAAAGTGTGAGCTTCCTCCTGAATTTTGTTTGCAGTTGCAGCATGCTAGTACTATTCATTTTCTTAGTGGTTGTGCTCCACTGATTTGGTGATCTGGTAACGCCAATAGAGTCTGTACAAATGTAGAATTGGTGTAAAACTAGTGATGGTTAGTGTGGTTAGTTGTGACACCTAAACCCTGTGTTCTCTAGATTTTTGGCTTGACAATGACTGCAAAGACTCCATCGAGATAATGGGTGTCATTCTTTCTTGAGGACTCACCGTTGATATCAATCGATTTGTTGTTTAATGATGTGTCGCTATGGCCAGCTAGCATGCATTAACTTTGTGGCCGACGGAGTAGATGTGTCGGTGTTTGAGTGAGGTTACTACATCTGTATACATACATGATACATGGCTTCTTGCTTCATTGCTTGATTGTATCTACTGTACGGGCATATCATTGCAAAATTTTCGTCGCAGTATGGGGACTACTTACTACTATGCACAAGTATATGCTGTACACCCATGTGTAATTGTTCAGTACATCGTGAGAAATAAATAGTACTTATGTGGGATAATCTTCTGAAGAATTTTTTGAAGAGGAACTTGTTGCTCTATGTGATTTGGTATCGGACAGTCCGTAATCTGTGACCAAGAGCTCTCACGCTCTTGTCGTGAGCCGGTGAATGGCCACCACGGCCTCATCACGGGGGTAAGGTAGGCAGCACATCTGCATCACGTAGAGAAGGCCTAGGAGCAAAATACTCAAACGCCACCGGTACGATTGGCATTACACGATTGCTTATCCCTTTATCAGCAGCTGCCTGAGCTAAACTTAGTTTCTGGTCCAAACCAAAGCAGGTGTCAAGTCACTGCTAGCTAGTGCATACATACAGACATGTAAAGAAGCGTCTGTGTATGTAGACGACACTGCAGAGGAATAGATAACATGCCATTTCCCCAACTCGGTGTTAATAAAAGAAGCGGTAAGGACAAGATCACAAGAGGGGGCAGGCAGATGAGATGGAATAACACAAGTGTGAGCTTGGGCACGAGGCTTTGCATGTGAAGAGCAGCATGAACGCCATGTGGTGGCACAGGGAGTTCTCGCCTGTGTCTTCTCTACTCCTCTTTGGGGCAGCAGCGGCAGTGGCACGGCAATTATTGAAGAGCACAGCCCCACCAGCTAGGCTGCTTAACTCCCTCTCTGCCCGGCCATTGCCATTGGCATTGCCTTCCACATGGAAGATTTGCCACTTGTTCCAGACAAGAATGGCCTCTTGTTCCAGCCAAGAGAAAATGGCGCCCATTTGCATTTTGCATCGCCGTTCAATCTAGGCCGGTCAGATGAGGTCGTTGTGGGGGTGTGTGTGATGCATGGGTCCCTGATAATACTCCATCTCTGGTCCCAGATTGTTCAGTTACTCCACTCCTACTATGTTAGTACTAGTATCCATGATTAAGCATTGAAGATACCCAAATAATCCATCTTCAGGGTGTAAATACAAGTAGTACAATACTCTACTTTTGTGTTCAGTTCAGTTATTCTGTCTAAACACCACAGCAGTTAAATGGTTCACGAAAGAAAAGGGGTGGAAGTTAGTAAGGTACTAGTACACTACTACTAGCAGGCATCAAGCCTGCGCAAGTTCATGAGGGAAAAGAAGCAGACACACATGAAATAAAGCAGTTCATGAGGGACTAGTAAATTCAGTCGACTTGCTTTCCTCACCAATGCTCGAGGTCAACCTTTATTGGCATTTAAGAATCCCCACACTTCATGCTGCTACTGGTACTCCAAATCTTGTACAATCAGAGCCACATCTGGAGGTGGAGGAGCAAGCAATACATCTTCCTAACCACATTTCCTTTTCTCTATAGGGGACAATATCATGACACAGTACAAAGCATAAAGGGCAGTTTGTCCTCGCACAACAAAAGCCACAGCAACCTTCATGCCTTGATATTTGTTGTCAAAGAAACTCTCTGGTCCTTTTCTAAGAATTCCATACTGAGAGGATGTTGGAGGTAGAAATACGGTACGGAGTAAAGTAACAAGATAATTATTGTATCAGTTTGCACACTTCGATCCAATGTTGGGATAATAATTGTCAGGATAATGCCAAGTATTCAAAGATACTAGCATCCGTTAATTCATACTAATAAATTATTGTGGATCTATGGCAACATGAGAGCGCTCTATATAAAGAACTTCAGGAAATTCGTTGCAGCTATGATGAAGTTGTAGTTGCTGGATCTGACTGTAGATATGGGGCAAAGTGTTTCAGGGCTGCCTCATATACTGGTTTTTTGAATTCAACTGCCTGCTCAATATGAAATTATATCAGATACTACAGAAGCAGGGAATCAGAAAAACATTGAGCTGGTAAACAGACCCACCTTTTCAATAACTTGCTGAGGTGTCATCCATGTCCATTCACAAAACTCCGGCCTCTCAGATCCGTCACCATTAAGGTTAACCTCATCTTCCTTCCCAGTAAATCTAAATAGAAACCTGTTTATTTGCACCCATATGTTCACAAGTTACTTGTGGATCACAAAGACAAGTGGGTATTATCCTTTTTCTATTGGCATTTCAATGGTGCACATTGCATTAACATAATCAAACCATGTCTTAGAAAGTTGTGATCTTGTGATTTAGTCAAGTCTATCCTAGGCCTAAATAACAAGTATGAGCCCAGGCCCAACCCCTGGCCTAAGTGAATGAGTGTGAAAGATGTAAAGTGATGGCATAAATGGGCCACAATCCTTCATAAATGGTTCACAAGTCACTTTGGAATCATGAAGTGTTGAAGACATGTGAGTAATAGTTTATAGCTTACAGACACACTATTAGTATTTGAATGCTGCGCATGGGCATTACACAAACATACTTACCTGACAAATTTGGTGGGCTTTTCACTTATTAATGTCTAGGATAGGACAAAATGATATGTCTGGGCCCAGGCCTATCCTTGGCGTAAAAGTAAGAGTGTGAGATATGTGAAGTTGATACCATACAAACTACCAGCCACCAATTTATATCAGTAATTTGAGCTTTTAGGACAGGTATCTACTGGAGGCTACCAAAATTATCAGATTTTATCCAGAGATCACACAGAAAACACTTATATAAGAGTTACAGCCAATCTATCTGAGGGATCACGAACCATAACAAACACTGAACTGAAGGACCTTTTCCACACTTCCACTAAGTATGGGACTATCTAGCTGTCTGAGACTGTATGGTATGCTACATATCATGGACAAAAATAAAAAAGAAGCTTCCTACCAAAGGATGCAACACAGAAACATTGGCTCAGCACAAGTATGATCCTTTGGAGCGAGTGTAAACGGGGTAGATAGATTTGGCTGTCCATCTCTCACAGTTTAGTGGCTCTTCTGATTTCTGTACCCAGCCCCTCTCCAAGAAGCTTTCTATTTGAATTTTTGCCCCTGATAGATTGAAGCTTCCTATTTGAAGCTGTAAGCACTCTAGATAGATTGAAACTTTCCAATGCGCTACAGCTGGAGAACTGGACAATCACATGTGTGTGCACACTGTGCAATACAAGCGTGTCAAGTGTAACATATACTGATACACACACATATGGGCGCAGCCAGGAAAATATGATTCATTGGCAGCTCAAGGTTCAATCTATATAAACATTCTAAGAGCACTAGGTTTAAGGTGCTGGCATAGGCTTCCGACAGGTATAGTATCATTTCTAGGAAAGTGAGGTGTAACATGTATGCTGCAGCTGTGGCATAGATGATTTTCCACATTTTACATATACTATTTATAGTAGTTATGGTGCTTATAACTTAATCAATATCATATTTAGCACGAAAATCGCTAAACCGGTACACTTCGTGGACAAGACAGTGTTTCTCTAGCACAGAGACTTAGAACAAGAGCAATCTGGCACTCTTTAGTCATAACTGTGAGTTTCTGCCTGGCAATTACCATACTATCTTAACCATATGGCTGTTTATCAGATAATTCTTGTCAGACTATTCTTGCAGGTCTAAACAGATACCACACAAATGTTGGTTACTAGCATCATTGTTGGCCCAAGGAAATGAGAAGGCTAACCATTTCTGAGCCTGTCCTTTCCAGTTCGTTCCTCCCCACCTAGCATTCAGCTTTTCTTTCACATCAACAGGGAAATCATACGTTAACCAAACGGGGACCTACATGAACATATACATGCAACTCAGTCAGCAAAACTAGTTACGAGACTGATTATGACAAACAAGTATCATAAACACGCAGTATTAGGAGAGACGCTGCAGGTTTGCAAGCAATTAGCAGCCGTTTGCGTGAAACAGAAGAAGTTTGGGAGTGGGCGAAAGGCCAATAGCTGACCTCAGCCACCATTTCTGCAGATGTAACACCCGTTTCCTCCCTCAATTCTCTGAAAGCAGCTTCCCTCGGATCCTCTCCCGCATCAATACCACCCTGTGGCGAACATCGCACTTGCGGATTAACACTCAACAACCTCTCGAGACAAAACATAGGAGCAGTTGTTCATCACCTCACCTGAGGCATCTGCCATGTGTTGGCGATGTCGATCCTGGACGCGGTGAAAATCTGGGGACAGAGGAGAGAGCACACGGAAAAAATTGGTCAGTTGAAGCACCGACGAAGAGGAGGGGTTAGGTCGCGGGAGTGGAGTCGGGAGCGCCGCTTGCCTTGGTGAGGGAGGGGTCGGCGAGGCAGATGCCGACGTTGGTGCGGTAGTTCTCCGGCGGCGTCTCCATGGAGGCTACGACGGCGAGCGGCGACGCGGAGCAGGAGGAGGAGAGCGGGCGGGTGAGGCGGAGCGCGGAGGAGGGGAGGAGACGGCGGCGAGTAGCGGTGGTGCGGAATCGGATAGGGCTCACGAGGATTGGGGGGAGGCGTGCGACGGACACCACCACCATCACTCCGCCCCGCGGCTATGGATCGCCGGGGAAGAATCTCTCTCTCCCCGATTTGCCCTGCAGCTTCGCTGACAGGTGGGCCCGTCAAGAGTTGGGCCAGGCCCACACTATTTTGCCACGCGTTTCGGCCTGCAGGCCTAACAGGGAGACCCGGGCCAATATACCGTCGCCTGAGACTTTGTTTTTTTCTTTTTCTTTTTGCGAAACTTTTTTTAAAGGGAACTTTTTGCGAAACTTTGTTTCTTTTACTTCATCCAATCAATAATATTTTTTGTTTATGATAATATTTAATCAAATTTTCGTCATCAACAATTTCTTAGTTTAAAACTAAAAATGATATATACATAGACTTATCTCGAAAGTGCTATAGTAATATCGTAAACTTATTAGATTTTATAAATGTTAAAAGTTTGAATACATATTTTTTTGTCCTACATGGCAAATACTCTTTTAATCAGAGGAATATTTGCCTAATTGCTCGTGCGTGTGATTCGTTTCTCTCCAAGATAGGGGATGATGCAAGCATGGAGCAACTAAGGTTTGAGTCTTAGGCTTACCTCAAAAATCATGTATAAATTATCTTAAATGATAAATCACCATGTACTTATAATGAAAAATAATAATTCATTAGTTGAGTCTTAAGCTAGCCCTGGTATTTAGTCTTTGGTAATTTTTTGGCTCTGTCATTGTTTAAAAAAGAAAATAAAATACACTGATTTTTTTTAACTGGACCCAAACCCCGCCGCTAAGCAAGTACGGAGCACTCAACTGTGTTGTGCTCCCGTTTTGCTTGGTACTACCTGTCAACTTGCCGCTCCAACCTCCAAGAAGTTTCCACTGTTGTGCTTGTAGCGAAGCTTTAAGCACGGTCAAACGGGGCAGCCAACCAGGTGGTTTAGGTTAGGCTCCGTTCAAACAATTTGAGAAATTTCGTCGAAGTATTCGGCGAAACTTGTACTGATCTAATTCGGATACTGGACTAAAATTGTTTCACACAAGGAAAGGGAAGGGCAGGTCGGTTCATTCCAGAAAAGACAAGCAAAGGGGCTTAAACAGACAAATATTGTTGGGCCACACTATCATACAGTACGTTGATAGGAGTGACGGCCCATTGTTTTATATCCTGGAGGAAAAGAAAGGAAAAAGGTAGCCCAGCCCAGTCAAAGGGCCCCCCATAACTTGCTGCGACGGCCATATGAATCCGTCCGTTATGATATCCTTTCTCCTGCGCGTACTCTCTGCTTGGTTTGTATTGTCTGTTGGAGTCCATAAACGTTTTATCACATGTGCATCTATTTTGCCATGTTTTAACCCGTTTTTAAGGAGTAGCACGGTAATAAATAAAATGAAATGAATGCCTATTTATTCTAATTAAATCTTTGGTAGTACGGTGTTTAACTTGCGTACTGTACAATTGTACATGTATTGTCAGGATCTGCTTTATTAATGTTGCTGGAATTTATAGTAGGATTTGACCATAGTAAATTAATTTGGAGGAATTGTTTTCCGATTTTAGATATATATATAGACACATTGTTCCACTGGTCTGTATAGATAGAGAAAATTAACTAGGATAGGGACGGATAAAAACAGCCGGAATTTAAAAGTAGAGTATTTACACGCTTTTTTAACCTTGTGCGGGCATACATAAGCAGAAATAAAAAAAAAGAATACATCTAAGCTGCTATTGCTACGGAGGAAGGCGGAAACGGTCCGTGTATATAGCCGCCGCCTTCAACGCGTTTATCACGCCGAATCCATGGCGGCTTCACGTGGACCGCGGCCATCATCATCAGGCTGCAGCTGCAGGGACCCGACCCGAACCGAACCGAGCCGAGCCGAGCAGGCCAGCCAAACAACGAGAACGCGAGGCGGTCTTCCGTTTCACCGTTGGCGCACAGGTGTCACCGCCTTGGCCGACCACGCCTCGCGCGTACGGAACGGAAACCGGCAGGAAAAATCTGGTACTCGCAACCGTGGCGGCCACGCCGGCGATTGCACCCGCGGGCAAGTAAGCGCGCGCCTGACGTGGCACGCCGATCAGCCAGTCACCGCGTGGGACCACCTCGCCCCTCACTGCCGCGTGGGGCCTCAAGTACCTTGGCCTGCCTTGGTTCCCAAGGAAAGCGACCACTTCAGGTCCGCCCGCACCGTCCTCCCCAAATTATCATCCCCACCCCTCAACCCCAAACCGCCTTATCTCCCCTCTATAAAACCTCCCCCTCCGTCCCCCACTCCCCAGATTTCTTTCACAGATTCACGAATTCCACCCGTTTCGATTCGATTCGATTCGATTCGATGCTTGTGCCCTCCGCCCCGGGAGAGACTCGCCGGAATTCGATTGCTTCTTGCTGGTAGGGGGAGCCATGGGAGAGCTGGCTTCCTCGCCGCCGCCCGCGGCGGTGCTGCCCGTCGTCTTCGTCGACGGCGACCAGACCGTCGACCTCGGCACCGTCACCGTCCAGCCCTCCCTCGGCGTCCGCAAGCTGCAGGCCGTCGTCGCCGACAGGGTGGGGCTCGCGCCGCAGCAGATCCTGGCCTCGCTCGCGCGCCCCCGCCGCGCGCGCCGCGTGCCCCTCGAGGAGGGGACCGACCTCGCCGCCGCCGTCGCGCGCGAGGGCTCCGGCTGCTACGTCCTCGCCGCCCTCCGCCGCTCCCGCCGCGAGCGCCGCGGCGGCCGCTCCCGCCGCGAGAAGAAGGCGGCGGCCGCGGCCGCGGCGGCGGGGGCCGCGCCCGCTGCGCCGACGCAGGAGAGGACTATCCTCAAGCGCCTCCCCGCGATGGATCTGGCCTCCCTGGCCTCGACCCCCTCGCCGGCGGCGGCGGCCATGTTCGGCGTCTGGGACTACGAGGCGCAGCTCCAGGAGCTGCAGCGGCAGCGCGAGTGGTACCTCATGCACACGGCGGCGGCGGATCCGTACTTCCCGCTGGCGCCGGAGCGCGAGGACCCGCCCTTCTGGTCAGCGCAGCCGCTGCTGCGGCAGGGGACGCCCTCGTCGTGCCCCGAGTGCGAGGCGGCGGCGGCGATGATGCGGGAGCCGGGGTTCCACTGGTGCGTGCGCGACGCGGTCACCGTCGGATTCCGCTCACTGGTGGGGCCAATCGAGCGCCCGGCGAAGAAATCCCCCTCGCCGTCGCCCTCGCCGCCTCCCCTGCCGCCGACCCCCGGCCGACTCCCGCCGTCGTTCGTCGGGATGATGCCCGTTTACTAGCCGTCGATTCGATTAGAAGAAAAAAGAAATGTAAAAAAAAAAGAGGAGAAAAAACTGGAATTGGGGAGGCTTGCGTGTGGAATTGGTGCACCAGCGCAGAAGAGGAGTTTTTTTTTTTTTTTTTTTTGTTATGGAGGAGGAAGCGGCCAAGTGCGAACGAGTCCAGAGGCGCTGGACACGTTGGAGCCTGCAACTAGCTTAGCTGTTACGAAGAAATTTTCTTTTTTTTTTCTTGGGGTGGTTACTGCTTGCTGCTAGTGCTATGTGACAGGTGGTATGAGGTGGTACGAGCCTGACCAATGTGGCTCGGTCGAATCCAGAGATTTGGACCAACATCTCTGGAACCCTCTGTTTTTTCTTTTTTAGTTTTTCTGAGAGAGCGGGAGAGAGAGAGAGAGATGCCTGCTGGATGATTGGCATTTGTTCCTGGTATATCAAAGTGGTATATGCAGAACAACATTTTAGTACCTACTTGAGTATGTGCTGAATTTTGTCTCCAGATCAGTTTTTCTTCCTTTTCTGAATTCTGATGTGTGTGGTGGAAACCGTGAAAGAGCTGTATCGAAACGAAGAAGGGTGAGAGAAAAACGACGAGTTCAATCGGTTCCCGCAACGAAACCAACCAACAAACCATTCGAGATTTTTGGGTGGTTTTTGGGCTGGATGCGTGAATGGAAAAAAGGTGGCGAAAATTCATCCACAAGATTGGCCGTTCCAAGTCGTGTTTTCTCGACGCCGGATATTCCATAGTCCTCTCGCACGTACGCACGTACGCTCGACGACGACGTGAAGCGCTGTCAGCTAGTACGTATCATCCACCACGTCATGGATGGAGCCCTCAATTCCATGGAAAAATATTGCTGCTGCTCCTCCTCCTACATGGAACTCAATTCCATGGAAAAATATTGCTGCTCCTCCTCCTCCTACATGGAACGGATGGATAATCATCCATCTCGTCCAGCCATGGAAGCAGACGATTGGAGGCCAGGGGTACAGGACAGAGGTACGCGTAACGCTAAAACGTGCGATTTTAATTGTGGCGTGTGCGTTAATACTAATCCATTATTTAAATGCCAATTAACACTGTAGCCGCCAATGTCTCCCCCAAATTTAGGGCTGGTTTGATTTGAGGCTTAAATTAAGCTTACCAATATTTTGCAATTTCAATAGTATTTAGTGTCTATTTGGTTTGAAACCAAATTTTGGCATGCCTAAGAAAAAGACTATTTTAATAGTGAACTTAGGCTATTTTGGCTTCAATCCAAACACAACTTTACCTTACCAAAATTAGTCATACCAAAAATTGTCAAAATCTGGAACTGCTAAAATTTGAAATTTGGTAAGACCTATATAGGCCACAAACCAAACCAACCCTTATTGTCAACCCGTCTCTTCTCTCTCGCAACCAACCGAACAAGCCAATGGCAGCTACCATAGCATAGCATAGGCAATTAGGCATATACTAGCACGGTCATGGTCCAAAACAATGGGCAGCTGCTACTTGTTTCAGGGGAGGGGAACGTATCACGTAGGAGTATGCATGATCGATGAGTGCCTGACCGGGTCTTCGTGGCCATTAGCGACCTAATCACACAATTATTAGCGAAATCATGTGCCATCTGTCACGACCTGCTCCTCCAACCGTTTCAAATATATGGCTCTAATCGAATACTACTACATTTGTCGAGATCACGGTACGTAGAGCGGATGATGTGATTCTCCTCCCTTCAGGTGACAAGTCAAACTCGATTCCTGGATTTTTCAACAACAGTGGATCAATTGATTAATTAAACTTCGTCGAGTTGTTTTTTTTTTAACGCTGCGATAACGTCAATGATAAACAAATTCAACACTGCAGTACTTTTCTCAAATTCCCCACGCTGTTGTTTTGGATCATACCAAAGACCCGGTTATTGCTAGCAGGTCGATTGATGTTTTTTCCAGTATACAAAACAGAAGCTGTCAAAAACCAGTCAACCTCGCCAACAACGACCTCTAGAGCTGGAAGCGTCGTACTTATATTTATTATATTATGTTCTGTAATTTTATATTTCTTGTTTACACGTACTTTTGTGGACTGCCAAAATCTGCTAGGAATGTACCAATGCCTGTCTAAAAACGTTTCCAGCCATGGTTTTTTCAAACATACAGAGATTGCTGGTATATCTAAACAAACATTTACAGGAGCAAAAATTTATATACGTAGGAGAAAACAAGAGTTGATGGAAGACAGAAGGTAAAGGGAGTTAATTTCGTGTTTTTGATTGGAAAAAATCACTCTTATTTTCCTTTATTACTTCAGGGATGACGCATGAATAAAATGTGTAATTATATATTGTTATAAATACATGCAACAAAAAGAATGCAATTTCTCTAATTGGGTAGTTGTGCTTAGAGCAAGTTTAATACTACAGCCCACTAATAGCTCCAATTCAAATATAGCCAATCTAATAGTCAATTTATACAATAGTTGTTTGCTATACTATTAGTATATAGTCCCAACTGTCATGCTCTTCTCTCTCATCTTTTATCTCATTAAAATATGTTTATAGCTGGTTAATAGTTTGCTATTATACCTGCTATTATAGGACCAAACTATCAAACGTGGATTGTTGATAGACAAAATAATGGATGCACTCAAGTTGAGGAGTTACCTTTCTCTTTCTTCTCTTCACCCATATTTGTTCCTCCACTTTCCTTGAAAAAACAAGATATTTCCCTCTACAGAAATACCCAATCACATCACTCTCACGCACACGCACACGCACCAATTGGTCTCTCTTTATGTATGTCTCCCATTCACGTAGGCGTGTTATCCAAACGATAAAGTTTCTAAAATAAAGGGTTATTTGTTATCAAATATTTTAAATACTCAAAATACATAGTATTTAATTTACATGATTTTTTTTCTAACCTTAGACTGCTAAAATCCTACGTTTTAAGTAAATATCGAGGGTTGTTTTTGAAAGCAGAAAACTTACTGTACTTTATTAGCAGAAAACTTATTGTTTTTTGAAAGCAGAAAACATTACTAACATTGTGTTTCATAGGTCCTCTGCTATAAAGAAGAATGAAAAGTTGGTAGAGTTGAAGAAGAGCAATGGACATTAGGGTTTTTCTGATCGTTCTTGAAACTTTTTTAGTTTTAAATGTAAAGGCTCGTAAAACTTATTTCTAATTTGATTCTTTTAGCCATGCCACTACACGCGGTAGACTAATATTATTGTTTCGCCAAGCAGCTAGATCGGCGTGGCTAAAAGATTCGGAAATAAGTTTTTTTAGGTTTATTTTTAAAATTAGAAATTGTAAAAAGCTTCAATATTTTTATATTATAAGAAAAAAAAGAAAAAAAATCACATTAGGGGAGAGGAAATGCAGAATTGATCCATGTGCTACTACCTGCAAAGTACCAGTACCAGTATAGGACCCACCCAGCAGCAAGCAAGCGGTCCATGGCTGGACTGGACTGGACAATCCCGCGTCTGGCGGCCCACGCGACAGACACTTGCACTTGCTCTCCGCTGCCGTTCCCCTTCCCCCCTCTTCACTTTCCTTCCCAGCTGCGCTAAGCAATCCCCACCCACCACCGCTGCAGCTGCAGTTGCTTCCTCTCCTCCCCTCTCTTCTCGCCGTCGGTGGGGTCCTCCTCCACCCTGTCTCTCTCCTCCCCCCCAGATCCACCCCTCCCCCTTCCCGAACCTTCGGGAACCATCTGGGAGGAGTAAGCAACCGCCCAAGCTGTAGCGTCAGCGGCGGCCGGCGGGGGAGGAGCGATGGAGACCCTTGCGCAGCGCGCGGCGTTGCTGCGGGAGTCGCTGCAGAAGAGCCAGTCCGTGACCGACGCCGTCGTCTCCATCCTCGGCTCCTTCGACAGCCGCCTCTCCGCGCTCGACGCCGCCATGCGCCCCATCCAGGTACACCTGCTCTCTGCTCTGCTCGCTCCTCGCCCCCCCCCCCTCCTCCCTCCTAGGGTTCTTCGCCGTTTGATTCCTTCTAGGCTGCTGTTCTGATGCCGCTGCCTCTCCTCTGCTGCTGTGTGCATATGTGTGTGCAGGTGAGGACGCACGCCGTGCGGACGGCCCACGAGAACATCGACCGGACGCTGCGCTCCGCCGATGTCATCCTCACGCAGTTCGATCGAACTCGAGAGGTGCTCCATCGCTTCAACCCCAGATTTCCCTACTTCTTACTAGTACTACATATGCTATTAACAATATGTGTGCCCCGCCCGCTTGTGGTTGGTTGGAACTTGGAATTGTAACTGCTTGTTCCGTGGCTGATGAATGCGGGGAACGGGTAGTTGGTGTGACTGTGATCAGTCCATTTTCTGATCTGCATCTCCTGGCACTGGGCGTATGCTTAGTTGCAAGCTTGCACGGTGGATTAGCCCTTCATTTTTTAAGTTTCTAAAATGCATCTTTGCTCCCGAATATGAACCAGCAGTGCTCAGGAGTGCTGTGGAGCATGCCCAATCCTTCTCATTTTCTCGAAGGAGCTTCACTCCCCTTTGTCCTTTCTCTGGATGGTCTTTGATGTTTCGCCTGCATGTTGGTGGGGGCAATTATAGCTTGAATTATAGTTTGTATACATCACTGTGAGGCAGCGTATTGTTGGTTTGGTACCACATGGTCCACATGTATTTGTTATAGATACATTAGGAAGGAGAATTCTCCATTGCATGTGGCGGTATGCATATAAATTGTTTTCTTCAACATGAATTACAGTAAGTATTTGTATTTCAATATGTGCCTTGATGGCTGCCCATATTGGGTTTGGCAACTAAATGGTTGGACATGGATTTTCCTTTTGACCGATTTTTGAAGACCTTGAATCCAAAAAATGTACCTAGCTATTTTTCAGTGTTGGATTACTTTGGAGAAAGGTCCGATTTCAGTTATTGACTTATTGTCATCTGTGCAGGCAGAGCGTGAAATACAGAAGGGGCCACATGAAAATCTTCAAGGTTTTCTAGATGCAGTTGATCGGTTGAGAAGTATTGAGCGTTTCTTTAGCTCAAATAGGAGCTACCGAAGCAGTGATGGTGTGCTCAACCATGTGAATGCCCTCCTTTCTAAGGCCCTTGTGAAGATGGAAGATGAATTCCAGAAGCAATTGACTCAGCGCAGGTTGTGTCTCATTATTAGTTTAAATGTTTTTAACCCCAACATCATCTAACTTGCATTTTGCACCCTCCTGACTGATTCCAGCAAACCTATCGAGCCTGATCGTCTTTTTGATTGCCTTCCAAGTACGCTTCGACCATCATCTGAATCTCATCCTGAAGGTGGAAAAAACCAATCACATTCTGAAAATCAGCAAAACTCGGAAGCAGCTGTATACAGCCCCCCTGCTCTTATTGAGCCAAGGTTCATTCCTTTTCTGGCTAAATTAGCACAACAGTTGGTACAAGCGGGATGCCAACAACAATGCTCAGAAATATACAGGTAAAAGGAAGATAAATATTTTCAGGCTATATATCTATTCATCA